ATCATAATTTGTGGTTAATTTTTCAACACGACAGTTGAAATCCCCGAGAAGCAGAACTGGTTTATTATTACAATTTCTAATTTTCAGTAGAGTCATTTCTAAGTTATCTGAGAATTCATCCAGGTCATAACTTGGATGGAAGTAACACAAAACAATCACTAATTTTTCAAAAATTTGGATCAATGCAAAATCCTTAACTTCAATAGTTTCTGTTCTTTTTCCATATTTAAATTCATTTTTGAAATAGATTGAAATTCCTTTCCTTGCCCTCCCGTTGCTGTTTATTTTATTTGCCAGCAAATTTATTGATCTAAATCCTTCAATGTTAAACTCTCTTTCAGCAAATGTTTCTACAAAAAGTAATAGATCATAAGTTTTGAAAAATTCAGTTTCAGGAATTAATTTTAATTTTGACTCTAATCCTTCTATATTCCAAAGCATAAGGTTAATTTCGGTGCTCTTTACCTCGCCAGATTGAGATCTGAGCCGCCGGGAAAAACCGGTTGAATGTCCTCAGGCGTATCTTCGTCCTTATTGTTGGTGGCCTGAATAGGGGTATTGGTTGTGGGAGTTGTGGTGGTCCTCGTGGTGCGGCCGTGTGGTTTAAAGGAGAGTAGGTGAATTGTGATTGGCTGGTTGCGGAATTCATCTAGTAGAAGTTGGTGGATGAAGCTAGCGTTGATGCCGTCCAGCCCGGAGCAGATTCTTGGCAGGGAGAGTTCAGTGACCTTGTGTTCCTCTGTGTATTTGGCCAGTCCTCGTACCATATCCCGGGCACCTTGGATGTGTCCGTCCGGGTCGTGATAGAGTTTCTGATTGGATCGTGGCTTAGACACACAGAAGAGCATGAGGGAACCGTCTGGCATCTTCTCGGGTGCAATGTAGCCAGGGGCAGCATTCGGATGTCGAAGGAGCAGCTGGGCAGGGTCGAAACGCCCTACATTCTTGGTGTGGAGAGCGAGGCCGGCGCCCAGGTTGAAATCTGCACCAGTAGCTTGCCCTTTCACGCCTTTGGCTCTCAGTAGGTCACCTGTTTCCTCGAGAATAGTGCAGCGGCTCTCTGGGTGGCGCTGGAGGCCTTTGTTTCCGATTTTCTTTACTTCCATTTGATATTTCATGTATTTAGGCGTGGATTTCGGAGCCGGGTTCGACCTTTTTGAGTTTTGTTGGCGCTGTTGTTGATGGGCTCCGACATGAGTTTGGGTGTTCCTTTGGTTAGGTTTCTTTGATTGGTCATGGTGGGGCAAATTGTTGGAGCGCCGTTTTGGCGTTACGATTTTCCAGTCATTGTCTGCGTCAACGGCCGCGTGTTGCGATTTCGTAGCGCCTTTTTCATTTTGATTTTCATCTCGAGTCTGATTGGGGGTTTCAGAAGGGAGCTGCATTTGTGTGCCTGATACTCGCGCCACTGGAGTTTCAGAGCATGACCGATGGTGGTGCTGTTTCGGGGGCGTGTCACCTCCGAGAGACACGAGGGATGGGATTTCAGGTTCAGGTGGTCTTGATTTTGTTGGCAACATTGGAAAACCTTTAGATTGAAAACTTTTTTCATTTTGGGCAAAAATTTCCATTTCCATTTCAAAAACACGCTGTTTGAGGTACTCGATTTGGTAGTTGCAGTTTGCATGGAAACCGTACGGGTCCGGTTGTCTGGTAAAATGGCTATGGGAAGGCCCCTCCATGGTCCTCGGAGTTACCTGGTCCCTATAGCCCCGCATCATTGTTGAATTTGGCGTGCACCCTGAGCCGGTCCCAGGGCACGGAAACTTGTTGCTTACGTGAATTTTGAGGCCGGTGACTCTTCGTTGTGAAGTATGCCCATTAAGAAGTCACTGGGTCTGGTTTTTCCACCTAAAATCTGTCAAAAAGTGGCCCGGGCCACATACCTTGCTGTTGTTTTGGTCGGCGCTAAGAAAAAAGGGAATTTGAAAGAAAAATATGGTAGACAACCAAAGAGTTAATGAAATGAACAATACAATAAGTATACAAATTAATATAATTCAAGCATTACATAATTAAGAATAAATGTTTCATTCATCGTTTAGTATTAAGGATTACTAATAATAAAATTGAATGCAAACTACGCTCTTTTAAATCAGTTCTAGCTATGTAATCATATATAAAATTTAAAAATTTTCTTATAATCACATTATATTTATAGAACTTTGTTTGTAATATTTAATAAATAATAACAGTTTAATTAATACAAGAAATATTGAGGGTCAAATTTTCTTTAAAATTTGTCTATATTATTAATATTAATTATTCTTTTAAAAAATCAAAGATATAATAAAGTGTAAAATCAATTCAATATATATGGTAAATTAATTTTGTAATCTAAATTATAATTTAATATAACTATAACTTTCATTGTTTTTACAGAAATTTACTTATCATTTTATTTATTCGCCTTTTTGTTTTTCTTTCTGCCTGTTAGTCTTTATCTTACAATTTGAAAATTGATTGATTTTGTATTAATTGCAACTGCTTCGAGCGTATAGGCTGAAGCCCCGAGTTTTCTAGTGGAGCATTTTGTGAGCTGCTGCTGCGCTTTGATGAAATTACTAAAGCGAGGCGGTTGCGCCGCGAGCCGAGGGTGTTAACTCTAATAATATTTGATGGAGTCGAACGCTAATCAGCGCGGATGTGACGGGCCGACACTTTTCATCATCGCTTAAAAACCGCATCTCGCCCATTACCTGGCGCTGTTGCTAAATTCTATTAGGAAAACATCTCTCCCTACCAAAGCCGCGAACGAAAACTTATTCAACGGCTATCACGCCTGGCTCGGGTTGGTTTTGCCGATCGCTGCTTTTGATAACGCGCCAGCCGTGCACGAAAGACGCTAATTAACGCAACATTATTCATCACCCCTTTAACGAGAGCTATAGCGAAGGAGAGGCATTGTGTAGGAAAGCAACTCTGTGTTGCTCCCAATGAACGCGTGTTTAATTTATATAATATACAAATTGCTTTTAGACGGACAGGCGAAGGGGCACGACTTTCAGAGTAAATGGGCCTTAATTAATTAGCGTTGTAATCAAACCATTATTATGAAGCAGCTACTTCTACTTTCAGATCACGGCCCATGAAACATTGATTGAAAGTTTAATATGTGTATAGAATGTATTAGGCATCAATAGGCCAATAAATTTATACTTGTGCTAAAATTATAAAAATGAAAATGTGGTTAAATAAGAAATAATTACAATTTAAAGTGTTTATTTTTCATACTGGTTAAAACCATAATTTATATTAAATTTCATTTTTATGTATTCTTATTATATTAATTTTAGAGCAAAATTCAACAGCAACAAAAAATTAAAAATTAATGATCCATGTCAGGCTTTTATACAGAGAGCCAATGAAAACTGAGTATTGTTTTATGCAATTCTGATGATAGAAATTTGCGAAGGACGTCAGAAATTGAAATCAATAACAAAACAGAAATTTCATAAATTTTTTAATAGTTTAAATAATTCCTAATAATTCATTTTATTTAATATTATAATTGAAGTCTTTATTAGTTATCAAGGTAATTAAATATGGTGAGAAAATAATACAATATTTTTTGCTTATTGAGCATAATCATTTATCTGTCCATAATATAATTTTTTTTATATCTCAATGAAATTTTACTTCTTTATTGTTCTTATCATTGATTTTAATCTAAACGCGGTGCAAACAAAAATTTGATTGGGCCTCAAATTAATAGGGTGGCAGTTTTAATTAATTACAGCCGTTGCATTTTGTGGCCGTGAGCAAAAAGGAAATAATTTCATTTTTTTCCAGAGCTCTAAATAAAAGGAATCCATCAACGTCAAAAGATTGCGTTTGGTCTTTCTGGGAGAAAAACACTCAGCGTTGAATTAATGCGTTTTTGAAGGGCGACAATTAGCGCGCGGCCGAGGGAAAATTAAGCGCGGGCACGCGGCGAAAAGGGCTGCACGCATTTGATTGTTTAACGGGCGTCACGCACGCACTGGCCGCCACCACTGGCCCACACTCGAACGAGCATGCCAAACCGAATCTGTGTATGAATCATGGTGCAATTTATTTAAAAAAAGTGGTCGACGAATTTAAATTTTACATCGTCATAGAGCAACCCTTGATTTCATTCCTGAAATTGAAATTCCAGCGGGTATCAAATGAGACTTTCAGATTGAATCAGATTGAAAAAAAAAAAAAAATTATTTGCCTCATTAATTGTCAATCTTGCACAATATTTTCTTGTATGATATTGTTTTCGCTATACATTAGTTCATATGATAATTTTACAAATATTGTAAACCAAATGCTTTAAATAATGCAACCCTATTTTAAACTTTTGTGATATAAAGAAAATATTAAATATATAATTATATTTGTTAAATATTTTATATTTTTTTAATAATTTCAATTATATTTTTTTTTCTTTGTTTGTTCTATTCTATATTTTTTTAATTAATTTATTAAGTTGACAAAATGAAATAATATAATCAATATCTACATAGCAAAAGGAAAATAAATGGTAGAAAATTGAATTAGAAATAGAGATTATTCGCTCATACATATTAATTATCATAATTTGTTATATTATGGTCAGTTGATAAGATAATCAACTAAGAGTAGCAAATAACATTTTAAGGGGCAATCAATGAATATTTACGTTGGTTGAGATAGCTTTTGAATTTAAGAAAACACTATGTATATTATTGAAATTGCTTAAACTTTTATATGAACCTTAAAGTAGCGCAGCATATCTATATTATCATAATTTGAAATAGATCAATATAATAATAATATGTATTTTAATCACCAAACACAGACCAAACCGAAATAGACACCAAACTATCGGTTGACAATCTTTTCATTTAATACTAAAATTGTAACCATTCTTATAAAATTTCTCTGGAAGAATAATTGAAACTGATATAATTTCTATTTCAATAGGTTATCAAATTTTGCCTCAGTAAAAAAAGTATTATGCAAATATAATCAAATACAAAAAAATTACTCACCACTTGACTCATGTCCGAGGTCTCTCCTGACCATGACCCCTCCGTAGGGTGAGAGAAGGGCGTTGGCAGTGGAGGTGGCGACCAGGTGGTGCAGGGCAAGGCTGACGGGGGCCATGTGGCCTCTGCTGTGGTGGCCGACGGAGCCGCCGGGGCCGCCGCGGCTCAGGCCCAGGATGGCGTCGATGGTGTGCCTCGGCCCGGCAGACTTGCACGTGCTGTTGTTGTTGTCCGGAGCGTCCATGGCGCGCTACTGCAGCGACCTGCGAGCCAGGGCGCCCAGCCAAAGGAAGGGTTGCTGCGGCAGGATCGAGATTCGCGGCCGCTCTGGCTGTTGCAGAGGCGGGCGACGCCGCGCGGGCAGGGGCGGCCCGGCCCCTCGGCCAATCAGCGCCGCCCCCGGGGCCGCGATCGCGCACAACCGACACGCCTGCCTAACAGGATAACAACTCGGCCGCTTTTTTATTATATCGCGCGCACCTAAGCTTTATTAAATTTCTGCTGCGCTGACATCGGCTCACCTTCCTTTGTCCCTCGAAAATACACACCCCCGCGACGCTTATGCAACCCGCGCGTTGCTTTTTCAGCAAACATGCCCCGGCGACGCTCTAATTGAGCCGTCGCTCGCTCGCTCGCTTTCGGTTTGATTATCCGCTTCGATTTGACCGCGCGCTCACTGAACTGCCTATTCGATTCTGTTTGTGTTTGCGTCCTTTGATTCCCGCTGATTTGGCTGTTCCCGAATTTAGCCCTGATGAAACTTGTGTGCCACTGCCTTCCATCAATCAAATGCTGGCTTTTGAGGAGCACTGCGTTTATACAATTTGAAACTTCTAATTAAAGAGAGGCTCTCAGTTAGATTTTTTTTTTAATTTTCAAAGATTTTTTCAATCATTTTTGTGGTTCAGCCCCTGCAGATTGTTTTCAGGAACGATGCAACCTGCACAACATATTTGCCAAGGATGTTGCCTATATTCATGTTTTTCTTGTTTGTTTTTTCTTTTTAAGTTTTTTGATAAGCAGGTCACATTAGTTCAAAAGCTTGAAGAGCGATTTGACAGTGAAACCATCAAATCAGAGATCAAAGAACGGCAATTTAAATACAAAAAAAATATATTTAAGTGATAGTTTGGAATTAAATGCTTAATTAATATAATTATGAAAAAATGATTACATTGATTACCATACAAAACAGAAAATCATAAGAAATACCACAAATAAACAATTAATAATGGAATTTAATATATTTTACAGTTTCAGAAATTTAAAAACACTAAACTTTTAAAATGTAAATTAAAAAAGTTTTATTGTTATCTTTTATAAAGGAAGTCAAATTTATTTTCAACTACACTGAATTTTTCTTTATTAATTTAAATTAAAAATTAATGCATTTCGCTGTGCATTAAAACTTATAAAATATCTATCCGGAAACTTGATCTCTCGCCGCTTTTTAAAGTTTTTTAGCGTGTGATTGTGATTAATTATCCACCCGAGATGATAGAGATAGTCTGTTTCAAATATTAATTCAGCGGTTTAGTTTAAAATTTTTCTACTACATGCAAACCTCCTTTTCTTTCGGCATGGTTAAAATAACGAACGAAATAATATATCACAGGTAAAAAAGCAACACACTGCTCTGCTCTAATCTCTGATGTACCCTAATGAAATAAACACATTTTCGTGTACACAGCGCTGCCGCTAAGAGCGTTTTCCGATTAAATTTAGTACTTTCCCGGCCGTGGAGTTTTGTGCTATTGATAAATGTTTTTAATGGGCCTGCCTGCCCTTTTCGCTGCTGGACGCTTTTAATGTAGTTTAAATGATACACACGCGAGATAAGAGTGTAATTTCATACGCAATTATCGGATTTGCTGCGCCGGGTTTTATCTCTCGCCAGCCGTTTTGCTCGCTGCATGCAAGCAACCCTTTATTGGCAGCTGGGGACACGCTTGTTATTTTTCTATTAATATACTCTAATCACCAACAGGCCGCAGAGCAACTGAAAATAACTATTCTGTGTCATCCAAGCCAATTTTAATTAAAAAATATTAAAAATAATACCAATCATCATATTCATCATTATTTAAAATTTAAGACAACAAGAATAAATCACAAATTAAATTCATTCAAAATTTCCCAAGCAAAAAAAAAACTGAAGAAGAATATTTCCTACAATTTGCACTTTTCTTGTCAGCATTTTAATTTAAATTTAAACGAATTCTTTCTTTGTAATGGCGTGCACCTTTTGTGTTACTTTAACCCTTCACAGCTCTCGCTCTGCTCAATTATCCCCTTATCGCGGCCAGGATACAAAGAGCTCTTCTCGGTATTACGTGGTGAACACGGAGTGAAAGTAGAAAAACATTATTATTCTGCCAGCTCCGTGGGTCGCTCTTTTGTGCCTGTGGGTTGTTGGTTTTGTCTATTATGCGCGCGATGAGCGCAAGCAGGCAGAGAGAGCGACAAAAGGCTCGCGGATCAAAAGGAGACAATTCACGGCTAATCACGTTTTATTCTGTTTGATTGCACGCCAAATCCGTTTTGAAGTGTGCACGTCTCTGTATCTGCTCTAAAGCACAATTTGATGTGATACTCAAGGATGCAACTGTTATAAAAAAAATAATTAAAAAAGGAGTGTGTATCAAATAAGATATAAAGCACACATGCATGTGTACTCAAATGAAAATTATCAATCTTAATGCTTCTTCTTCACTAATCAAACACATGCAGGAGTGAGGAATTAAAACATAAAATGATGAACCATTAAGTTTGAATTTTTAAAAGATTAAAAATTAAAATCTGTTCAGCATTTATATTTATAATATAATTATTATGATGAATTATTATGTTTATGAATATTTTAGTTTGCACGATTAAATTACAATTATATGTGAAGATTTTTTTCGCAAATTAAAATTACGCTAAAAGTGTGGATATAAGTTTTTAGAATAGGCCAAATGCTATAGATATTATTTTCTTAATTTATTTTAAAGTAAAAAATTTACAGACACACAGCAATGCTCAAAATTTATATTTTAACATATCATTTTTACACTTCCTTTCTTTTAAAAGGCCACCAATTTTTCCAAGATAACACATTTTTGATAATTTTTATTTGTTTGTATAGTTTCATAGCATAGGGTTCTATTACTTGCTTTGAAGTTAATGCAATTTGTAAACACATTTAATTCCACTAAAAATAATTCACAATTTTGTAGATGAAAAAGTACATAAATTTTTTTCAGTAACTTTTTAGGGAAATCAACACATTTTTGACTGTTTGGCTGTTTGTATTTAATCAAAATTTGTGCTATTTGATGTCAATTAATTTCCTAACACCCTGTCAAGGGCAGGGAGTCGGGAATGAATTGTCTCAAGCGCTCCCACGCTCTGAGTTTCTTTTCCTTTCAAAAGTAAAGTGACCCCCGCTCTGCCGCAACCAGCACCCCGTACGCAATATTTACCCCCTCACGTCGACGTGCCACCGCCGGGGGCGCAGCAGTCCGCCGGCATCTCCTGTAAACCACGAGCTGTGCCCAGCCCAGAAACCCTGCTCTCAGCTGACCCTCTTCTGCATGCGTGCAATAAAAATAATAATAAATCTCGCTTCGCAGCTCCCTGCTCCAGATCAGGTTTCTAAAACACTCGCCGCTCCCCTTTGCGCGAAACTATTCTGTTTGCATGGAAATGAGAGGAGAGCGTTTTGGACGCGAAAATATAAAAGCTGCCGCCGGCCGCTGCACATCCGATTAGGCCTCATTAGTCGAAAGTGCGAGTGGTTTCGGGTTTCCTGTTCAATAATAATCATGCATGGCAGTGCATCTCTCTGATTTTATAAACCACAGATACTAGCTCCCCGCTAGAACAACATTTAAAGTTACATTTCTAATTGAATTATTTGTTTTTGACTTTTACGTTGCACCCAAGGTATTAATATTATAATTCTCAATAATGATAGTATGAATTTTTTGTTTGAATACTGGAATGGCAGAGAACGCATGAATATCATTATAACAGAGTTTCCCATCTTACATGATTTATAATTTTATTTAACAAATCATTAATGCAAGCTAATTTCATCAAGGTCTAATAAAATATTATCAATAATAAAATATTAATAATATTTTTAAATTTAAATAATTGTAGAGATATTTTTTAAATAAATGTTTTTATAATTATTTATATATGCTTGTAACATTTTCTATATATTGTGCGTTTTTTTTAATTAAAAAGTTTAATCACTAGAACATAAATAAATCACAACAAATTATTTAGATTATTTTTTGGAAGTCTCAATTATTTAATTAGAATTGTGTCTTAAAAATATAACTTTTGCTACGTTTCATCTCAGTAATCAATTACCAGTTTCGAGTGAAACCAAAAGTGTATTCACAGCATGCACTAAAATAATTATATGTATAAACATTCGTTTTGACGCTTTTTTGTGCATTTTGTACTTGGCTCTACTATTTTTTTTTAATGCAGACAAGCTAGAAAATCTATGAGACAATCTTCTTGTACTTGGACGACTTTTCCAGCACATTATACCTGTAGGGGCTGGGGATGATTTTGATGTCTTTTTTTACGCTGGAGTTAATTCAGAGGGACAAATTTAATATAAAAATGAAGATATTTTTTAACCGACCTGAATTTAAAAATTAGTTCTTACTTGCAGTCATGCCAATTTTATTATTTCAGAGTTCATTGAAGATAAATTTCCTCGCTATAGTTTATTTGGTGTGCGAAAAAAGTAATTAGTTTCGCGGGCCTTGAATAAAGAAAACAAGCGGCGGAAAAAAGAAACATCCAGGGAAAATTCAATTACAGGCGAAAAACTTTGGTGCTGGGCGAAGGGAGAGCGAACAGGGGGTGTTCTCGTCGCTTTTATCTTTGATATCATTAAATGATAATGGAGTGAGAAGAGCGAGGTTCGGTGGGTCCGTGTTTAGCGAGAGAGCACATCAGAAAATAACGAAATTCCTTCAGGCAGTTAATAGTGTTTTCACTGCGGATCTATTTTTCACGCCGCGCTCCCCCAGCCGGGAGATTAGGGGCCGATTTTTTCCTTTCGCGTCCGCCGCCGACGCACAATCGACGATGTGAACCTGGACAGATGCGCCTGATGGTTCTCTCGCCGCGTCTGGTCCATCTCGGCGCGCAAGTGGAATCAAAGGGGATCGATTCTGTTGGCGAAAAGTGCGGCGCAGGAGCGAAAAGCTGCTGCGACGACGCCGCGCGCGTTTGTTGCCAAGTGACGCCGGCGCCGCTCACACGGAAAATTAATTGCTTGGCGTGCAAGAGTAATTGGAAATC